ATTTAACATGCTGGTTTTAACTGTCACATTTAATAATGTACACTCTGCCAGGTCCACTTTCATCAAAGTTATTATCATCTGTCCTTGCAACATGCATGTGAGTTCAAACCCAGAACAGCAGCAACAAAGACTGTGGGTTACTTGAAGAGCAGAATCTATGGCAATAGCTGCAGCATTCTTCAAGCTCAGTGTTCAAGTCAGCACTTTAAGGAAGCTGAAATAAGCTTCAAAAGAACAATGCATAGCATAATCGGTAGTTGAAACAGAATATTAAAAAAGTGATGGGCTGTAGTAAGGACCGTCAAGCCTCCAAAGAACTTTTTAAACACCCTTCTTTTGATATGTTGTCTTCACTCATTTTTTTGTCTCTTGGGGGTTATCATGAAAACAATGAAAAGATTCTGTGGGGGTTCGTGACCTGAAACTCTCTTGTTGTGTTGTGTGTGGGTTTTGTCTGGGTACTCCTGCTTCGTCTCAGAGGCCAAAGACACGCTTGTTGGATTAATTGGTGATTGTAGGTGTGAATGTGAGTGTGAATGGTTGTCTGTCCCTGTGTTAACCCTCTGATACATTGGTAACCTATATAGGGTGTGTTCTCCTGTCTGCCCTATGACAGCTAGAATAGGCTCTAGCTTAGTTGTGACTGAATTGGATAAGAAAACTGATGGATGGATGGATTATTTTTATGTTTAAAATTCCTGGATATGTTCTTTAGTGCTATTCACCTTCAGGAGGCTTGAAAAAGTGCAAATAACCTGAAAAATGAAAATCTGAGAGGGGAAACTATCATTCATGTCTACATTGAGGCTATAACCTGTGATAAAAGGGCCACGAGTCTACTTTCTTTGGAAATGATGTGCTAAGCTGAACATTTGGCAGCTTTTTTTTTTTTTACTGTAGCAGTTTGAGGTTCGGTGAATTGATTGCCTCCTGCATTTGTCTGTGTCTTTTAGATACAGGTTTACTACAGCCGGATGCAGCAGCTCTGCATGACCAAGCCGGCAGTCTGCAGCCGAACCTTCATCTGCTTGGGCGAATCTTCCTCTCCCGCCCCATGAGCCATGCTTTTAACTGCATTCTCCTCTTCCAATTGTAAGTTACCATGGCAATGATCTTTGCAGGTTCTTAAAGTTGCATCATTTACTAGTCACACATTAAGTACCACTGAGTGTGGGAGGAATGTGGTTGAATTCAGTGTTTTGCAGCACTTCGCTCTACATGTGATGGAGAATAAGTTCAACCTTTGTTAATGAGCTGTAAGCATTTTTTGTTTTAGTTTAGTTTCCTTTTCTTTCCTTTTTGA